GCAATATACCACAGTAATAAAATTAAGGCGGATAAATACATAACTTCAATTGATGTTAAAAAGCATGACAAAAATCAATACACTTTCATGATAAAAACTCAAAGAAAAACAAAGACTAAAAGGAAACTAAGTAAACATAAAAGGAAAACTAAGTAAAAGGAAACGAAACTATATGAAAATCCCACAACTATCATCATATTTGATGGCAAAAGATTGAAAGCTTGTCTTCTAAGATCACAAGACAAAGATGACTGCTTTTGCTAATTCTATTCAACATAGTAATGGAAGATCTAGCCAGAGTAATCAGGCAAGAAAAAGAAATAAAAGCCACCAAATTGGAAGGAAAGAAATAAAATTATGTTTGCTGATGATATAATCCTACATGTATAAAAGCCTAGGGATTCCACAAAAACAAACCCTGTTAGAATAAACAAATTCAGGGGCGCCTGGGTGGCTTAGTCGGTTAAGCGTCCGACTTTCGCTTAGGTCATGATCTCGCAGTTCGTGGGTTCGAGCCCCGCGTCGGGCTCTGTGCTGACTGCCAGCTCAGAGCCTGGAGCCTGTTTCAGAGTCTGTGTCTCCCTCTCTCTCTGACCCTCCCCTGCTCACGCTGTTCTCTCTCTCTCTCTCTCTCCTAGAAATAAATAAAAAATATAAAAAAAAAAAGAATAAACAAATTCAGCAAAGTAGCAGAATACAAAAATCAACACACAAAGTCAGTTGGGTTTCTATATACTGACAATGAAAACTCAAAAAAGAAATTTAAAAATTCCATTTAGGAGGGCATTAAAAAATTTAGGATTTAACAAAGAAGATGAAAGACTAGTATAATGAAAACTACAAAGCACTTCTCACAGAAATTAAAGAAATCATAAATAATTGGAAAGGTATCCCATGTTCATGGACTAGAAGACTAGTATCAAGATGTTAATAATTACATAAAGTAATCTATAAACATTTAATGCCATCTCTATCAAAATCCCAAGGATACTTTTTGTAGAAGCAGAAAAAAATCCATCATAAAATTTATATGGAATCTCAAGGGACCCTGAATAGCCAAAACAACCTTGATAAGAAGAACAAAGCTGGAGGACTCACACTTCCTGATTTTAAAACTTACAGGGGTACCTGGGTGGTTCTATTGGTTAAGCATTTGACTCTTCATTTCAGCTCAGGTCACAATCTTACGATTTGTGGGATCAAGCCCCGCATTAGCCTCTGCACTGACAGCATGGAGCCTGCTTGGGATTCTCTCTTCCTCTGTCTCTGTCCCTCCCCCATGCATTCTCTCTCTCTCATTCTCTCTCTCTCTCAAAATAAGTAAACTTAAAAAAACATACTACAAAGCTATAGTAATCAAAACAGTGTGCCACTGTTATAAAAACAAACAGATATCCAGGCCAATGAAATAGCCCAGAAATGAACTCTCACATAAATGGTCAAATAATTTTGAACAAGGTCTGCAAGACCATGCAATGAAGAAAGGATAGTCTTTTTAACAAATGGAGCTTGGAAAACTGGATATCCACATGTGAAATAATGAAGCTGGGCCCTTAACATCATATACAAAAATCAACGAAATGAATCAAAAATCCAAACATAAGTACTAAAACTATAAACGTCTTAGAAAAAAACATAGGGAAAGCTTCATGACATTGGATTTGGCAATGATATCTTGGATATGACACCACAAGCACAAAGAATAGACAAACCGTACTTCATCAAAGTTAAAAGATTTTGTGCATCAAAGAATACAGAGTAAAAAGGCAACCCACAGGATGCATATCTGATATGAGATTAATATCCAGACACATACAGAACTCCTAAAACTCAATAACAAAAACCACCCTATCCAAAAATGGGCAAAAGGCTTGAGCTGACGTTTTTCTAAAGAAGATACATAAAAACCCAATAAGCACATGAGAAGATGCTCATAATCATCAGTTACTAGGGAAATACAAAGCAAAATCACAAGGAGATACCACTTCACACCAATGAGAATGGCTATAAAAAAAAAAAAAAAGGAAAACCAAAAACAGAAAATAACAAGTTTTGGTGAGACTATGGACAAATGGGAGCGCTGTGCACAGCTGGTGAGAATGTAAAATCATGTGGCTGCTAGCTAAACAGTAGAGTGGTTCTTCAAAAAAATTAAAAGTAGAATGACCACATGATCCAGCAATTCTGAGTATAAACCCAAAAAACCTGAAAGGAGGGTCTTGAAGAGAGATTTGCACACTCATGTTCACAGCAGCCTTACTCACAAGAGCTAAAAAGTGGAAGTAGCCTAAGCGTTCATTAATAGATGAATGGATAAACAAAACATGATATATGCTTATAATGAAACATTAATCAGCCTTAAAAAGAAAATTCTGACATATGCTTGAGCATGGATAAATCTTGGAAACAGTAAGCAAAGTGAAATAAGCCAGTCACAAAAAGACAAATACTATATAAGTTCACTTATATGAGGCACCTAGAGCAGTCAAATTCATAGAAAAAGAAAGTCTAATGATGGTCACCAGAGACAGGGAAGGTGGCAACGGGGAACGGCTGTTCAATGAGTAGAGTTTTCAGTTTTCCAACATGGAAAGTTCTGACGACTGGATGCATAACAGTGTGAATGTACTTAACACTACCGAGTTGCAAACTTACAAATGGTTAAGATGGTAAATTTTGTTATGTGTATTTTATCATAATTTTTAAGTTAAAAAATTATAATACAGAGATCTGCTATTTAAAATGGTCTTCCCTATGGGGCGCCTGAGTGGCTTAGTCGGTTGAGCGTCCGACTTTTGCTTAGGTCATGATCTCGCGGTTCGTGGGTTTGAGCCCCGCGTCGGGCTCTGTGCTGACTGCCAGCTCAGAGCCTGGAGGCTGTTTCAGAGTCTGTGTCTCCCTCTCTCTCTGACCCTCCCCTGTTCACGCTGTCTCTCTCTCTCTCCTAGAAATAAATTTTAAAAAATATTAAAAATAAATAAATAAATAAATAAAAATAAAATGGTCTTCCCTAAAAATTTTTTTTTAAAAAAATGGTCTTTCCTCCAATGCGTATTAGTTCCAAAGAGGAAACACTGTGTTTCAATGCACCGAATGAACATATTACAGACATCTTCCTATGGTTGTAAATTTTCATATTAAGCCCCACAATGCGCTACATTCCAAAAAATCACCACACATGAAAGTCTACACTTCTAAAATAAATCTTTCAATGTTCATTCAACTAAATGACTAGATTAAAAAAAAAAATAGAGATAAAATGTAAACAGCACACCACTGATTTTTACTGTACCTTCTTTCGTGTTCACTTATGCTCTTCACTCGACAAAACCAAGCAAGAACTTAATATCAAATTAAGCACTTTTGAGTAAAGAAAAAAAAAATCTCTAGATTTAGCAACCACAAAAAGAAACTCAGTAAAGAGCTAGAAAAGAGAAAGCAAAATGCAGGCACAGGGGGACTGTGTCATAATAAAAGCAGGTCAGAAGGAGACGTTGCACCACACACATCTTTACCATGTATCGGTCAGAGGGCATGTTATTAAGTTCATAACAGCAACTAACATACTTAAACTATATATTTATAACAGCCATACTGAAGTAATTCACATACGATAAAATGCATCCTTTTAAAGTATACAGTTCAGTAGTTTTTAACACAGTCACAGTTGGGCAACTGTCAGTGTCATCTAATTCCAAATCGTTTTCATCACCCCAAACAGAAACCTCATTCTCATTAGCAGTCACTACTCATTCCCCTCCCCCCTCCTCTCCCGCCCGCCCCCCTCCCCCTGCAATCCCTGACAACCACTAATCAATCTGTCTCTATGGCTTTGCCTCTTCTGCACATTTTATATAAATAGAATCGCATAACACATGACTTTTGTGTCGGTTCCTCTTGCTTATTATGTTTTTAAGTCTCATCCACACCGCAGCCCGTATCAGCACTCCGTTACTTTCTGTGGCTGAATATACACTCACCAGTTGATGAATATCTGTGTTGTTTCTACTTTTAGGCTGCTATAGTTCTGCTTTATGAACAATACTGCTAGGTACATTTGTGTACACATTTTTACGCAGATGTGAGTTTCCAGTTCTCTTGGTATCAAACAGCCAGGGCACAACGTAGTTCTACAAATAACTTTTTAAAGAAACTACCAAACTAGTTTCCCCATGAGGTGCACCATTTTCTCCACTCCTACCTGCAGGGCAAAGGAGCTCTATTTCCCCACACCACCAACACTTGCTATTGCCTTTCTGACGACAGCCATGCTAGTAGGTGTGAGGTGGTCTCTCACCGTGGTCTTGATTAGCATCACAAACGATGTTGAGTATATTTTCATGTGCATTTGGGCATTTATATCTTCTTTAGACAACTATCTATTCAAATCCTTTGCCTGTCCTTCACTGGGTTTTTTTTTTAATCGTTGAGTTATCAAAGTTCTTTACATACTCTAGATTCAAGTCCCTCAGCAGATATGATTTGCAAATATTTCTCTCATTCTGTGGATTACTATTTCACTTTCTTGATGAGTTCTTTGAAGTAGAGAGGTATTTAATTTTTATAAAGTCCAATTTGTCTGTTTCGTGGCTTACACTTTTGTTGCCATATATAAGAAAATCATGCATCTTAATATTAATCTGCGTGCCACCCGGAGAGGAGAACAGAGGTGATGTAAAATTAAAAATCTAAGAGAATTATCAAGGACTCAAATTCAAAATCAATTTTCTTGCAAAGGAAAAACCAGAAACACAATAAATACACATAATCCAGTATTGACGAGCAAAGATAATAGGGATCAATCTGCTCAAGGTCTGAATGGCCTTCGCACTAATCAATGAAAAGTAAAACCCCCTCTGGGAAATGAACAAGTGATTTCTAATCCCTATGTCTGAGTAAGATTTAGTTGTTTTACATTTTCTAGTTACAAAATTATAAAATATTTTTAGGCAATAAAATAGTCAGAAGCATAATTTTGTTATTGAAACGAAAACACTTACCTGCTAAGTAATTCTAGTCCAGCAGAGTACTTTGGCAAATATGGAACAGTCCTGTGAAAAAAAAACATTTACTTTATTCAAATTGTTTTTGATTTATGCCAACTAAAAAAAAAAAAAAAGCCTACATATGAGAATTTTGACACCATCATTATGATATGAAATATTTTAAAATTACTAATGAGAGTTTACCAGAACTTTTAGAGAAATGTATTGTTTTACTTCACAATTAAAATACTATAGGGGCTCAGTCTGTTGAACGTCTGACTTCACCTCAAGTCATGATCTCAGGGTTTGGGAGTTTGAGTCCCGCATGGGTCTCCCTGCTGACAGCACAGAGCCCACTTGGGATCTTCAGTACCCCCTCTTTCTGTCCCTTCCCTGCTCATGCGCATGCACACTTGCACTCTCTCTCTCAAAATAAACATTTAGAAAAAAATAAAATAAAATACTGTAATGTACTATCATCTATCACTTTGCCCCACAGATTATTCTTAGCACATAAAACAATAAATATTTTAATAAAATGTTAGATGATAAAAATTTTTTTAAAAAGCTCATAATCTCAGGGCGCCTAGCTGGCTCAGTCGGTTAAGCATCCGACTTCGGCTCAGGTCACGATCTCACAGTTCAAGGGTTCGAGCCCCGCGTCGAGCTCTGTGCTGACAGCTCAGAGCCTGGAGCTGATTCAGATTCTGTGTCTCCCTCTCTCTGTGCCCCTCCCCTGCTCATGCTCTGTCTCTGTCTCTCAAAAGTGAATAAACATTAACAAATAATTTTAAAAAACAATAAGCTCATAATCTCTAGGTTGAAAGTGAAATTCAGTCATGCTTCACTTATTTAAAAAAAATGAAAACATTGCACAACACGGGTTTTCGTACAACAGGTGACACAGCTAACGAGGCTCCCTTGCCAAGCACTGTTTCATTATTAATCTGCTTCTCAATAATGCAGGCCTTTTACTTTGTGCTTAATATTCAGAAATGATTCACTGTGATCAAACAATAGAATGACCACTGGTTATCCTAGAATACTACTACATCTCACCATTTCCTCAACCATTTTACAAATTTGTCAGAAAACTTTCCAGCGTTAACAAAATTTAGAAATAATCAGACTGCAGTCAAATGCACTCAACAAATGCAAAATTCACTAAAGCAAAAATACTGTTACAGCCAGAGCCCCAACGGCGTATGAAATTTACATCACAGGAAATTAACTCTCAGCACAGGCTTACCTTGGTTTGCTCTTTACTTTAGCTTCTCTTGACTTGTCACTTAAAGTCTTCAGCCTATAATTCAACAAGTATAAAATACCACATTTTTACAGGTTAAGAGATTTTTTCAACCATAAATTTCACAGCTGTTAAAATTTGAAGTCAGATAAGCTAATTTTTAGCAAGAATTAAGCACCAATACAGACAAGTATTTGAGTATTTACTGTTAAGTCAGACACTCGAAATAGAACGTCTATAGCAAGCGCCTTTATATCTTTTCTTGCCCCAATCCCTTTTTTTTAGAAACAATCACTAAGTGTGATTAGACTAGAGAAATGTCCCTTACCTACATCACCGGAAAGAGAAGCAGTCTGCACAGGTGAATCTGGTAGGTAACAAATATCTAAGCAGCACATCTTATTAAGTAGATACTATATCAGGCACTCAAAGCTCTTTAAGGGGCACCTGGATGGCTCAGTCACTTAAGCATCCAACTCTGTCTCAGGTCATGATCCTACGCCCCGTGTCAGGCTCTGTGCTGACAGCTCAGAGCCTGGAGCCTGTCTTCGGATTCTGTGTCTCCGTCTCTCTCTGGCCCTCCCCTGCTCACGTTGTCTCTCTCTCAAAAAATAAAACATTTAAAAAAAAAAAAAAAAGCTCTTTAATTACTAACATTCTGTGAAATTTCAGACATTGATAATCAGCTTTCTAAAATATATTACAAACCTTTCTCATTAGAGGACTTGACATACTCTAACATTTTCTGCTAACTGGGTCATTTTTATGAATACCGTCAATTACATTTTGTGGCAAAGCCACCATCTATCTCCTCGGACGCTCCCGAGGTAGAAATACCTCTTCATTTGCTAGCGTGAAACCAATCTACAGTGACCCGAGTTTGTTTGGGATCCTGTGTCTATTTTTCCTAAATGTAAATGCTCTACCTGCACCACTGGCCATTTGATTACCTGTGATTACCTCCTGCTTCTGCTGGCTACTTAACTCTTGCAGCCTCCTCCCTCCCTGTTCCTTTTTTAAAAAAACTTGCTTATATTTTTAGGGTTGAGAAGGAGCAGAGAGAGAATCCCAAGCAGGCTCTGTGCTGTCAGCATGGAGCCCGACATGGGGTTCGAACTCACAAACCGTGAGATCATGATCTGAGGTGAGATCAAGAGTCGGACGCTTAACTGACTGATCTACCCAGAAAACAGATAAATGGGCTAGAAAATGCCCAGAATAATAAAATTAAATAGGTTCGTCTCTCTCTATAATATGAAGTTCACAGACTTTATACAATTTACTTCTACTTCACTGGCCCATTTTCACCTTCTTTTGTGTCTGCTCTGTACCACACAATAGAGGTTGCCAAAAAGGGAGTGCTAAATCACAAGCCACTCTCATATAACATGAGATTTTGCTGTAAATGTTCTTCTTAACACGGGTACTTCAACAACAAATACTCCTTTCTAAATAGAGTCGAAACACAGGCCACGATACCACCAACAGCCCCTAAAAATCCTTTGGTAAAACTAGAAATAGGTGTGCCTTCCTCGAGCCGCTTTCCTGCGCTCAGCCAGAAACGGCCCTACGGTACAAGCTGGCTCTCCCACGAACGCCCAACCTTGCATATTTCACAACCACACATCTGAGTCCTGACACAGGACTAGAGCTGTATCAATAATGACCGGCTAAGTACGAGAAAGGGCCTTTAAAAAAAAAAAAAATGGAATGCCAACTCTATACAAAAAATGTCTATATTACTCTATGTTGTTTCTCCAAAAGTAAGATGAGAAGATGAACTTTTCTACATTGTTAAAAAGACTCTGTAATCTCTTTAATACAGAACCCATTTGTATAGATCGCCCCAGATGAGTCTAAGAGCTGTATTTATAAAGTCTCAATTGTCCGACAAAAACAGGATAAATTTCCAAGCTTCCTGCGGCGACTGGTAAATCCGGTTTAAACCAAGATTAAGCAACAACTAGGAAAAGCTTTTCTGACACTTATGCTCTATCCCCTCTACTCCAAAATTTGAGAAAGGCGCTTAGCTGGGACATGCCAGGGAGAATTATACTAGGGTGGTGATCCGCAGCAGGACATTATACTCACAATGGTTCTGGTATTACTTCCAGTGGTTCGGGACAACTGCATGGAGTTAGGTGGACAAGGATATTACAAGGGAACTATTACGATCCTTTTTGGAACATTCTTATTATATTCTTTAGCAAATGTGGAGGTTGGTATTTCAAAATATTTTTTTTAATGTTTATTTTTGAGAGACAGAGACAGAACATGAGCAGGGGAGGAGTAGAGAGAGACAGAGAGACACAGCTTCCGAAGCAGGCTCCAGGCTCTGAGCTGTCAGCACAGGGGCAGACGCGGGGCTCAAACCCATTAACTGCAAGATCTTGACCTGAGCTGAAGTCGGACACTTAACCGATTAAGCCACCCAGGCGCCCCTCAAATATCTATTTCTGATATAAACTTATACTTTCTCAATTATAATATATCAAAATTGGGGTGCTCCTCAGCACCTCCCCCAAAAAGAAACACAAAATTAGGGTAGAATAAAAGAGAAAGAATGGATGTTACAGGCCACTGAAAATAAAACTGTTGGGTCAATAAGAGCTTCTCCATGTGGCTCCTTAACAACCATCTGCTTTAAAATTGGTCCTTAACCGAATGTAATGTGTGGAACTTACTTGATCTGGATTTGAACAAATCAACTGTAAAAAGACATTTCTAAGAACCAAGGAAATTTGATTATGGACTGGATAATTGATACTATCAAAGAATTAGTGTTAATTCAGTTAAGGATGAGGTTGGCACTGACTGTATATAATCTCTATATTTTTAAAAATATATTTAATGTTTATCTATTTTTTTTTAGAGAGATAGAGCATGAGCGGGGGGAGAGGGGCAGAGAGAGAGGGAGACACAGAATCCTAAGCTGTTCAGAGCCTGACGTGAGGCTCCAACTCACATACCAGGAGATCATGACCTGAGCCCCTGTATTTTTTTTTTTTTTTTAGAGATGCAAACTGATGTAGGAGAGGTGTAACAGACCAATCTAAGATTTATTTTATAACTATGGGAGAGGCAAAGCAAATGTGGCAAAAGTTGATAATTGTTGAATCTGAAAAATGGATATATGAGGTTCCCTGTGTTATTCTGTTTCACATGTCTGAAATTTTGTAACAACATTTTTGTAATAAATAGTCTTTTAGATATTCATCTTTTCTCATCACACCTCCTCCACATAAATCGTCTGTGTGCCAAAATTCAGAACAGAATGGAGAACTGATAGAGAAAACAAAGTTCCTCCAAGGATGTGGAAAACAGTAAAGAGAGTTGAAGAAAGGAACACAATAAAGGGTTACAATACCTATTATTCTTACTTTGAGTTGAGAAAAAGGTCAGGTGTGTTTCTGTGTGTATATGTGTATATGTGTGTGTGTGTATACATATATATCTTTTTTTTAAGGTCAGGTATATTTAACAAGTAACAAAAAAAGCAAAAAGTTCCTTTCTGATATACACCCTCAAAGCCCAGAATTCCACTAAAGGTAGCTTAATGTTTTTATTGTGCAATATTTCTACTTAAAGCTTCCCACGGTGATTCCGTGCTGGGAACGACCTGCTAATAAAAGTTATTTAATGTCCCACAATGTTATGGCACACTAAGAAGGAAATACAGAGCCAGATGTAATACCCTGGTTTCCTCACATATAAAATGGTAGTATTATATTGATTGTAATAATTTACCACAGGAATTAAAATTCCAAATACAGCTTTGGCAGCATTCTGTAAACAGAGCTAACTCAAATGAAAAGTATAATAAAAATTATCTCCACCAAGAAAGGGAAGAAACTAGATACATTACTGGGCCGAGGTGAAATAAAAGAGGTTCCTGAAAAGTTGAGGTTCCTATAAAAGGCTTCCCACTGTTCCCAATCTTCTTCCTAATCCCAGAAAATCCCCAGGAAGACATTAGTGCTGCTATGTGACTATCGAGTTACACTTAAGTGAGCACCTAACCATTATCTTTGACCAAAAGCAACTAACACACACTTCAAAGCAGTAAACCTCAAATTTACCCTAACACTTCATTAACTTAGTTTTAGATTGCTGTAAAGACTTCACTTGATTGGAGACCAGCACACTTATTTTTTTTGTTTGGCAGAAAAATATTAAAAATGGGGGCCTATTACTAAGAAATGGAGGTGATTAGCAAACAACACAACAGGTTTTTGGGCTTTTTAAAATTTTTTAATGTGTTTTTTTTTTTTCTGAGAGAGACAGTGTGAGCCAGGGAGGGTTAGAGAGAGAGGGAGACACAGAATCCAAAGTAGGCTCCAGGCTCTGAGCTAACTGTCAGCACAGAGCCAGATGCAGGCTCGAACCCACGAACCGTGAGATCATGACCGGAGCCGGAGTGAGACGCTTAACCGACTGAGCCACCCAGGCACCCCAACAGGTTTTTTAAAAAGTAGACAAACAGAGTGATATCTGGAGCACTACAGTGAACGAGGAGCAGAAATTGTGCTTTCTCCGGCTAACTCAACCTCGCGGGGTGACCTTAATGGCATTCCATTTAGCTGCACTTCCATTTCCTACTCGGCTAACCTCATCAGCTATCATGATTGCTGTAAAACACCACCAAAACATATTAATGAGCACATTTTTGTCATTAAGGTACAATTCCTTTAATGTTCACGTTTCCATTATTCTGACTTTAAATGCTGCTTGCAAATCCACGTCCAATCTATTCTCTTTTCCCGTAAACGCTTATCATACTTTTTTCTTTTTTTTTTTATGTTTTTTATTTATTTCTTAGGGGAGAGAGAGAGAGAGAGAGAGACAGCGTGAGCAGGGGAGGGTCAGAGAGAGAGGGAGTCACAGACTGAAACAGGCTCCAGGCTCTGAGCTGGCAGTCAGCACAGAGCCCGACGCGGGGCTCGAACCCACGAACCGTGAGATCATGACCTAAGCGAAAGTCAGGCGCTTAACCGACTAAACCACCCAGGCACCCCTATCATACTTTTTTTCTTAAAAAAACAAAACAAAACAAGATCAGGGGAACACAGCATGGATCACACTTAAAAGTACATGTGACCCCTAAGCTCTGAAGCCTGAGACTCACACGAAACCTGCACAAATCTAGTGAAGGGAGAGGAATTCATACTATCTCTACCCTAATTAACCCCCAATCCACCGTGTCAGTTCCAACCTGTCTCCTCAGGGTTTCTTGAACTTCCATTGCTTCCTGAATGTCAAGCACTCAGTTATGCTGTACAAGTTCACTGGCAACTGCTGGTCTCTCAGGACTATTCCAAAATCCTTTTTGTTTGTAAATGACACCATTTGTCTAAGATCCTTTGAAGTCAGCATCTCCCCTCCCCTCATTTTCTCCACCTTTTTCACTTCCTCTCCCAGTTTACATTTTTTCCCCCCGGGGAGGGAGTGGGGGGCGTGTGTCCCTTCCACTCCCTTGTTAAATTCCTACCAAATTCCTATCAGCCGGGCCTTAGAAGCTCTCTCTCCCCTAGCCCACAATTTACAGCCCCTCCCCCAGATAATCTCCCAGGTCCACATCTCCAGCCCTCCCATCACACCACATCTCAAATTTCTTCCAGAGATACAGGTAGGCTCCTGTAAAAACCCTCAAAATAAAGGCTCAGTGGGTCTAAAACCAAGCCTGGACCACCCTGTACAAAGAACGTAGCCATCCGACTCATCCCCGAGCCCCTCACCTGCTTCACTGTTCGAGACCTGGTATGATCTTCTAAGTATTAGAAGTAACAGACTGAGCCCGGGACATTATTTGCTGCCTGCTGTGTTCTCTGCTACATCCCTAGCTCCCAGAACGGTGCCTGTCACAGCGTAAGTGCTCAGTAAGTATCTGACAAATGAATTAACTGAGCAGAGCCCTTGAAGAGCCTCCCTTAGTCACTACCCTCGCAGCTTCCTCTTCCACAGCTGCTTCTGCCTTGGAAATGGCCTCACCCCAATCTATGACAATCCCTCCGCGTTCCTCAAGGCCCAGTAAAGGAGCCACTTTCTCTTTGAAGCCTTCTGTAAATGCATCTGAATTAACCACTCTTTCCCTCTGGGCTCTTGCATGTATCACTTGTATCTTTTTTTTTTTTAAGATTTTATTTTTAAGTGATCTCTACACCCAGTGCGGGGCTCGAAGCCACAACCCTGAGATCAAGGGCTGCACACTCCGCCACCAGCCAGCCAGGCGCCCAGGGCTTGTGTCTTTAAAGCTCAGTTCCTTCTGCTCCCCTCCATGCTGCCCCAGTCTACAGCATCCAGAGGGCAGAGACCGCTTCAGTCCACTCCATGGCCCCAGGATCTAGCCCAAAACACAGACGCTAATTAGTAAAGAAAGTCGAGCATGTAGCCCCTTAAATCTTTTTTCTTTTTTAATAAAATGAAGAAAGGTCCCATGACAAAGGACACTTTTGGAGTGCATCACCTATACTCTGGTTTCTCTTCAGATCGTATAAATCTTTTGCCTTTTGAGGGCATCACCTAAGTGCCTGACACTTAATAGGAACTCACTAAGGAGTTATTAAACCAGACTGAAGACTGAGATTTTTTTTTATCCTGCTTATTAAAAAGGTGAGTATTCCTGGAAGAGGAAAAATCTTAGGCAAAGTCTCGCCATTTTACGACACTGGGAGTTAGATGATGAGACCCTCTCCTCTGAGTGGGTTTTGAGACCACAGGAGGCAAGCAGAGAAAATGAGGCTGCGGGTGGTGGGGGCTTCTGAGGGGGGAACAACAATACAGGGTCTCTATTCCTACTCAAAAAAACCCACAGCATTACAAACTGGAAACGACAGGCGGTGACAGGAGGCTGTAAACCTTCAATAAATCTGATTTTCAGTTCCCGGAGGGTTCTGCGTGCCTGATTACTTCAATCCTGAGGCTTCTGGTCCTAACAGTTCAAAAGGTAAAACTCAAAGACCAGAGTGGATCTGAAGCGTGTTCTCCAATATACCATCCAAGAGTTTCCCTCAGAGCTCGGGTCAATCCTTAAAAAGTGGATGATTTATGTGAACTCCCCGAAAGGCTCTAAGAGCTCTGAATAAATTAAATCAAATTAAGACTCACTTAGATGAGGGGAAGAGGGTGAGGCCCAGAACCCACTCCCTCACTCCCGAGGTCTAGTGTCATGAATTCTCAGAAGTGGGAAATGAGCAGAAAAGCCCTATGAAGGTACCGCTCTGGGTGACTGGGAAGAGCAGCACTGGAAGCGCTAAGGAACGCCAAGACGCTGGGGCCTTCCTTCCACGGATTCCCTGGGGCAACCCAGCACCGGAAGTTTCCAATCATTTCAGAAGCCACCTGCTTTGGTTTCTACAGGCATTAATGCCAGGCGTTGTGAAGGTGTGTGGGGCACCCTTTGATCCTTTGGGGAAGTGAGGGCCATGTCCCTTTCATCTCTGGATCCCTGCACTGCCTTCCTGCATAGAGACACCAGGGCTGTGTTAATTTCAGCGTTAATTTCATCTTCCCCCTGCAAGGGTAAATGGTCAATTCAGGCAAATAGGCTGAGCGCAAGCTGAATGAGGAAGAGTTTACCAAGATAAATTAAGAGGATTCTTTCTTGGCAAGGGTCACGTAGTAAACTCGTGAACCTGACAGAAGTGACCATCAGAGTTTCAAGCTGCCAGTCAGCTGAAAGACAGAGAGAGACAGGAAGAGAGCGAGCAGGAGAAGGCCAAAAAAGAAGGCAGAGGATCCAAAGCAGTCTCTGCAAAGCGAGCACAGCGCCTGACGCAGGGCTCCAACCCACAAACATAAGATCTGATCTGAGCCGAAGTCAAAAGTCCCACACTTAACAGACTGAGCCACCCAGGCAACCCTGTAAGCTTAACCTTCTTAATAAGCGTCAGGAGTGTGAATGACTTCTGAGACACCCATACAACCTAGAGAGTTACAGTAACTGAGAGAAGACGGGACTGTCCCGTCATCAAAGAGCTTGAAAGTAATGCGAACAGCGGCATACCAGGCGGGACCATGCTACAGGCAGACCATTCCAGGATCCTACTGAAATTCTTCAATCACACTCTGAAGTTACTTTTTAAATGAGAAAAAAAATTGCAAGTATGCAAATACACCACAAACGAATGACTACCGTAACATTTATAATATTCTTAAGAACTCCAAACCTATCAAAAATGATTTACCTGTGCTAAGTGTTCAAGTATCTGCCAGTATGTTACTACTCAGCACCCAAAAGGCACACAATGTAAACATCTTCGTCTCATTAGATAAAATCTTAGCCAGCATCTTTCTATTTGGAAACTTAAAACCAGATGATTCAGAAGTCTCCATTCAGAAAATTCTCCAAAGGATTTGTCAGCTAAAGGTAACAGATTCTGTACAAATGTGACACCTTCCCTAAAGACATGAAAACGTTAAATTGAACTAAGCACCATCCAGTAACCACAGATCCCATACTGCTTACTGTTCCACAGGCCATGTTTTACATGGTAATTCGTTAATCTGCACAACCCTATAAGCTCCATCTTTATCACCACTGGGCAGTTGTGGAAACCGAGGCAAGGCGATTCAAGGCGCCTGCAAAAAAAATACGGTTGCGTAGTGGGGGAGAGGCGATCCCTGGCAGCCTGGCCAGAGTCTACGCCTCTGGTTTCCAAACTTCACTGCACACTGCCATCTCCAGGCGGATCTTTAAGACCCCATCTCCGGCCCGATTAACTCGACATGGGCTGCCACCTGGGATCAGGGTTGTTGTTAAAGGTTCCCAGGTGAGACTGGGCAAAGTTTGGGAACCGCTTGGTCTGCGCTTTTAACCACTAGCTGTATCAGCAGCGTCGCTCTGGTTCTGCCGCTGTTCTTGCCCCAGAGCTGCTTCACCAACGCGCCGAACCCGGTGCGAAAGCAGCGAGAGAAAACAAAAGGAAAGGGCCCGTGACCTTCGGTCCCCGCGCGGCCCAGGAGCCCGAGGCCCGGGCGGGCAGGTGCCTCGCAGGCGCCGGAGGTCGAGGGGGCGCGGGCCCCCGTCCCGCGGGCGGGGGGAGCAGGGGGCGCGCCGCCCGCCACGTGACCCCCTCCCGCGGCCGCCCAAACGCCGGGACGGGGCCCCGGCGTCCTCCGCGCGCTCCGCGGAGCCGGCCGGCTGGGCTCTAAGTTACTTAGCGCCGCGGGACCGACGCCGGAAAGTTCGTGACTCTGCTCGGCGGGGCGGGGATGGGAAGTGCCGGGTGGGGCCGGAGCGCACCGCGTGCGCGGAGGGGAAGCAGGCGGCGTTCGGGGACCCCGGCCCCCCGGCTCCTTCCCGTCCCCCGCCGTATACCCACCCGGAGGTGAAATCCTGCTGCACGCTCAGCAGCCGCTCGCGCAGTGTCTCCAGCATCGCCGCCGCTGTGTCTCCTCCCCTCCGGCTTCAGGCCGCCGCCGCCCAGGGTCCCGCTCGGCCGCCCCCACACGCGTCTCCCGCGCGCCCCGCACACTCGCGCCCGGCCCCGCCCCCAGCCGGGTAGGCGTCCCGCGCCGCAGCCCCTTCCGCGTTCCCGCCCCCCGCTCGCGCGCTCCCGCCCTGCCTCCGCCGCGCCCAGGCCCGCGCAGCCGCAGTGGGCCGCGCCGGCCTGGGCTGCGGGAAAGGGGCGGTCCTTCCCTCCCCGCTGAGCGGAGGCTGCCTTTCTGTAACCCAAGGCAGGCCCTCTCGTTTTTCTGTAAAACACCAGCGGCAGCGTGAAGGAATGTTTTCGGTTGAGGGCATCTTTGAGAGCAGCGTTGGCTTTTACGGTTCGGAAGATAATTGGAAAAATGTCTTGCACAGAGTGCACAGCCCTGGAGCAAACTGTTTTCACCGACTGGGTCCGGGATCCGACCCCACCGGCGTTGCCCTGGGATGAAAGAGTTAACCATTCTAAGCCTTGGTTTCTTCATTCATAAAATGGGAATGATAATCAACTGTTTCCACATCATCGCTTTCCACTTCAACCTCCGGGAGGCTTTTGTGCCCTTCACACCAAAGGAGGTTGCCTTTGTCAGGTCACTGGAGAGCTCCATGTGGTCAATGCCATTTATTACGAATCTGCCCTCATTTTTTTCTCGACCTCGGTGGCCCTCAAAGCAATACCTTATACCATTTTTAAGACACATTCTTCTCCTGCCTTCAGGGACATCATACTTCTATTCTCCCTTCCTGTCCACTGCTGTTTCAACAGTTGTTCCCAAGGCTCCATCGCCAGCTTCCTGGTCTCCGTGTTTGCTCTATCATGCTGGCAATTCTTCTATCAGGGCAGGGATGGATGCCCAATTCTCTATCTTCAGCCTGCTCCTTCAGTTCACACCAGTTGCTTACTTAACATGTATCCAACAGGCATTTCAAACCCAACATACCCCAAATTGACAATGTGATTGCACATTCACCTCCTAACTTGCTCATCTCCAGTCTTTCCCATTTCAGTAAATGGCACCAGCGCCCACCGAGTTGCTCAAATTAAGCCACTTGAAATCACCCATTTCCTCACTTCCTCATCCCCCATATTAACTCATCAGGTCCAATCCAATCCACTCTATTTCTTTTTTTATATATAAATTTTTTTATTTATTATTTTTGAGAGCGAGAGCGCAGGAGGGGCAGAGAAAGAGGGAGAGAGAATCTGCACTTGTCAGTGCAGAGCCTGATGCGGGGCTCGAACTCATGAACAGGGCTCGAGATCATGACCTGAGCCGAAACAAGTTGGATGCCCAAAGATTAACTCTCTCATCACCTGAGCCACCCAGGTGGCCCCACTCTATTTCTAAAGTATTCCTGGAACCTGCTCCCCTTTTTCCATCTTCACTGTAATCAACCTAGTGCAAGGTACTGTCAACTTCTACAAGGGACACCAACAGGTCCCCAGATTCTATTCTTTTGCCGTCTACACCCATGTGATCCACCCTTGACATGGCAGCCAAAGAGAATTATCTGAAAGATGAACCAGATCACGTTGCTCTCCTGCTTGAAAGCCTCCAGCTGCTTCCTGTGCCCTCAGAATAAAATTACCAAGTCCTAACATTTGAACTCTTCCTGATATTCTATCCAAAGCACCGTTGACCGTTGAATAACACGAGTTTGAACTGTGTGGGTCCACTAATGTGCAGATTTTTTTCAGTGAATATAGTGGAAAATTTTTGGGGAGATTTGTGATGATTAGAAAAAACTTGAAGATGAGCTGCCTACCCTAAAATACCAAAAAAAGTAAAAAACAATTAGATATTATTGTAAGAATACAGTATATGATACATATACAGAATATGTGCTAATCTACTATTTATATCAGTAAGGCTTCTGGCTAACAGTAGGCTATTAGTAGTTAAGTTTTGGGGAAGTTTAAAGTGATATGTGAACTTTCGACTGGGAGGGGATCTATGCTCCTAACTCCCTTTTCAAGGGTCAGCTGTACCACTCACCTATCACGACCTTGACATGTAAGCCACAGTAACCTTATCTGTGTTCCTTGAAAATTCCAGGTTCAGTTCCACCTTGATGCCTTTTCAGAAACGTTTCTCCAGAATGTTGCATTGCTGGCTTCTTTGTGGCATTCAGATCTCAGCTTAAATATCATCCCTTTAGGTAGGTCTTCCCAGATAATTCAAGTTACTCATGTGATCACTTCCTATACACAGCCTGCTTCTCAACTTAGTACACTATCTGATAATTTACCTAATAATTGTTTAAGAAAAAGTTCTTTAGTACTTTATGTTTTACACCATTTATTTAAAAACATTTTAACGTTTATTCATTTTTGGGAGACAGACAGAGAGCAAGCCGGGGGAGGGGCAGAGAAAGAGGGAGACACAGAATCCGAAGCAGGCTCTAGGCTCTGAGCTGTCAGCACAGAGCCTGACGCAGGGTTAGAACCCACGAACCGTGAGATCATGACCTGAATTGAAGTCAGATGCTTAACCTACTGAGCCACCCAGGTGCCCCGTACATCACTTATTTTATTATTTTTTTAATGTTTTTATTTATTTCTAGGAGAGAGAGAGAGAGACAGCGTGAGCAGGGGAGGGTCAGAGAGAGAGGGAGTCACAGACTGAAACAGACTCCAGGCTCTGAGCTGGCAGTCAGCACAGAGCCCGATGCGGGACCCAAACCCACGAACCGCGAGATCATGACCTAAGCGAAAGTCGGACGCCTAACCGACTAAGCCACCCAGGCGCCCCTACATCACTTATTTTAAATTCAGGACTCAGACTAGAGTGAGGCCTGTAAGGCATTTATTTCAGGTGCAAACTTTAAGGGGAGTCAGAAGCTGAGTATTCAAGATGAATAATATTTTATTTATTTTTAATGTTTATTTTTGAGGGCAAGTGGGGGAAGGGCAGAGAGCGAGGCAGACACAGAATCTGAAGCAGGCTCCAGGCTCAGAGCTCTCAGCACAGAGCCCAATGCAGGGCTTGAACTCATGGACTGCGAGATCATGACTTGAGCCAAAGTTGGCTGCTTACCAGACTGAGCCACCCATGCGCCCAAAAATATTTTAACATTATTTTTAAAAATTCAAAATTCATGCAAAAGAAATATCTGTTTAACAAAACACCAAACCTTTAAATGAAGACTGGATCCGGGACTGCTGGGATTGAATGGGGCAAGTGAGATGAGCTATGTGAGGACAGGCCCAATATAAACCCCCTCATCTTAGTTAGTTAGCTCTGTACACACCTAAAACAGTGAAAGGTACATAGGAAACACCTAGTAAATGCTGATTGTTTTGTCGTAGGAATCAAATAAGATAAAGCACGTGGCTTCTCGTTGGGGGGAACACCTCTTGGCTGCTCTTGATGATTTCTTCCATATGGAGAAAGCCCCTCCATGATGTAACACACTCTAGGCCTTTCCTGGGCTAGGAGAGGAGACTTGTAGGATAGTAAGCTGGGAAGAAAGGAGTCTGGCCCGTCCTCTCTTCTTTATCTTGGCTGCAAACTTCCGGCCAAGAACACTCATTCCATTCCATAAGGACTGGCTGCCGGGTGAGGAGGCGGGGGTGACTGGGGTTTTCTGTGACTGGACGGGCAAGTCTTAATCAGAGGTTGGGTAACAGGAATTCTGCTTGCTCATGAATATTGTATAAGCCATGCGCTTCATCAGCCTTACCAGAAATGGAAGTGATGTTCTCGCCACTTTATGCTGACACTCATTTCTCGGTTGGTGCAGACAAGAACCAGAGAGGGGTGCTGTTTACTGAGCCCTCCCCCGACCTCCCAGAAATAGTACCTGATACAGAGAAAGTGATCAAATGACCAAGTCGATAGAGACAGATGCCTCAGTATCTAGTAGATTTTGAAACCACAGGTACTGGGAAATAATCAACCTTTATTATTGTAATTCAATTAAGCAAACACCTTTGCTCATAAATTTTCAATTTACCAAGTTTCATGGGTTCCTACAAAGCACCAAATCCAAACAAAAAGACTACGCCCACCACTAGAGAATGGCCTTTACTTATTGTGCCCAATCATTATTGTTCTGACCATTGCATTATTGGTCAATGGCATGTTTGTGCCTTGTTTTGCAGTGTTTTAAGAACATTTTTAATCCCGCCATGTCTGTTAAATCCAAAGACAGTGGAAAATTTAAAAGGGCTAATAAGGAGCACTTGGGTTGCTCGGCCCTTTGGGCACCCCACTCTTGATTTCAGCTCACGTCATGAGCTCGAGGTTTGTGGGATCGAGCCCATGTGGGGGCTCTGAGCTGATAGCACGGAACCTGCTCAGTATTCTCTCTCCCTCCCTCCCTCCCTCTCTCTCTCTCTCTCTCTCTGCCCCTTCCCCGCTGTACATGTGCACACGCATGCTCATCTCTCTCAAAACAAATAAACATTTAAAAATGTATACATATTAAAAGGGCTAGTAAGAAAAAACAGTGATAAACAAAAGTAAGTATTAGAAAACAAATGGGTAGAGAAAACAACTACAATTACATGAGTTGTTTTGTAGGAATGATTAAGGACCAAGATTTGAAGCATGTGACACATTGTATTGATTTAAGTGACAGTAACTGGTCAGAAACTAGGAAGACCGATTTGCAAAATGAAAACAAAAAACAAAGTTTTTAAGTACAGTTAGAGAATCAACATCAATATTAAAGGCTATTGGCCTAATCTGACTTCAGCAACTGGTTGAGAGTCGATTTGCGAACATAGTAGCAAGGCACAGAGAAAGCTTTGGTGATAAAACTTTGGGAACAAGCACAAAAGCTGCTTAAGAAGGCCCCTATATGGGGGCGCCTGGGGGGCTCAGTCAGCTAAGCCCTGGATTTCAGCTCAGGTCATGATGTCACCGTTCATGAGCTCGAGACCTGCATTGGGCTCTGTGCTGACAGTGCAGAGCCTGCTTGGGATTCCCTCTCTCTCTGCCCCTCCCTCTCTCACCCTCTGAAAATAAATAAATAAACTTAAAAAAAAGAAA